CCCAACCTGCGCCGCGCTGTACACCCCGGACCCTCTTTAAATCTACCCGTTTATTCCCCCCGCTCTCCGCGCCGCGCTCTCTTCTCTGCGTTCGCGCGCAACCCAACGATTTCTCGTGTACTCACGTACAGAACACGCTCGTACCAGGAGCAGAGTTGTAGATACCGTATTCAGGGCCCTGAAAAAAATAACGAATGAGGAAAAAAAGATAGGGAAAGGGGGGGGGGCTTGTTTTACTAGGCCCTAAAGGTGGAGACTCCACTTTTGGGGGGAATTCGTGACTTTGATTTGGGTTTCATGCAGGAATGATGAGGATGTTGAACTATTATGGATGAAGGGGACAGATGTAGAGTATGAGGGCCCGCGAATGGTTATGCATTGATGCACTGCGTATCAGTCTTGAGTAATTGACGGATTTAAGGACGTCGGAGTAGTTTTGCTATTTTTTCTGCGGTTAAATGGGTTTCTGCTTTTGTTGTCGAATGTCGGGGATTTCATTTGAGCCCCATTTGAACCCAAGTTTTTGGACTTTTTATAACGGTTTTATTATTTAAACTTTGCAGGGCCAATTTTAATTTCGAGATTGAACCGTTAGAAAACGTTTTTTTAATCTTAAAAAAAAGATAGTTTACTTTTGGAGGAAACTTGATGAAATCATTGAAAAATTGCAATTAAAATAAAAAATTGAAAATATCGATCATGTTCTATAATAATTATATAATAATATTATAATAATTTATGAACAATCCATTTTCAAACATAAAATTCATTTGTTCGGAGTAGCAACAAATTTATTCATATTCAGAATTTTATCATGAATCAATTTAATGCCTGACCAAAAAAGATTTCCGAATGGTTAATCAATGTCAATTATTTATTTATTAGACAACGATTGTTTAAAAAATAATCATTATGTGCAAAATGTAATTTGAATGACGCTGAATATTCATCACTTAACAACAAAATTTCTCACTAAATTAAATTGATAAATTTGATGATTGAAAATGGTTCACTTTATACATAGTGTGGTCTGGACTAAATTGTATGAGATACTTGGATATCTAGCTATTTTTTCTCCAGTGAAATACTTTTCTACTTCTGTAGTTGAACATCAGAAATTTCATTTGAGCCCCATTTGACCCTAAGTTTCCGCAAATTTTAGAATGATTTTATTATTTAAACTTTGCAAGTCTGAATTTGAATCTCGATATTGAACCGTTAAAAAACATTTTTGAAATCTGAAAAAAATAGAAAGTTTACTTTCGGAGGAAGATTGATGAATAATTTAAAAAATGCAATTTTTTGCAAATGGGAGTATTTTCTATGAATAATTTATAAACAATGAATTTTCTACCATTTCAATCCCTCATTAACATTTTAAAAAAAGTCAAGTGTCCGTTTTACCCCAACCTCCCCTAAATAATACTCAATACTGATGATTTCCACCAAATTTCGCTCACCCAATTTAATTTACAATAATTCTCCTATTTGAACTTCCCAAATCTGAATTTGAATCTCGATATTGACCCCTTAGAAAACACCCTAAAAATTTGAAAAAAATGCTAAGCGTACTTCTGGCGGAAGATTGATAAAATAAAAAAATTTCAATTATTCAAAATTCCAACTTCCACAAATAATTTATAAACACTCAATATTCCCCCATAAAACCATTTCCCCCAAACCCTCCCACTGTATTCCCATTCAAAATTCACCAGAACCCACTTCCTCCCCAAAAACCCAAAGTTCCCGAAAGTTTGCACAACCTCAACCCTCTCCTCCCAATCAACAATTCCCAAAAAACCACAAATTCCCTTCAAACTCCCTTCAAACCTTCCACCGCCCCTCCCCCCACCGCCCAAATTTGCCTCCTGAAAACCTCCTCTACAGTGCGTCCCTCACGAGCCCGCAGATACCTGAACATCCTTAAAAAAAAAACCCAAGACACAATAGTGCATACACCCCTGCCCGAGTGAATTCCCACCCACCACTCGTGCCGACAGGGTCACACTCACGCGTGCACACGTACCGGAGCCTGTGTGCCCACCCACACGGCCGCAAGCCCATGTACACCGTTCCCCCTTCTAAACACACCCATACAAGTGCCTAGAGTGAGTGGGAGCCGCCGCGGGAGAGCGGGGCGAGGGATCACGGAGTGCTCACGCATCACACACCCGCGCCGCAACCACCCCTTCGCCGCCCGCTCCCCCCACCCCCTTTAAGAGTGTCGGGGGCTCATCCCAACACATAAAAATCATTCCCGCCGGTGTGCACTTCCACGTACATTTGAAAATGAACAAGTGTTGGTAAATGGGTGAAGCCCGAGATGCACCGGAGATTGCCGAGCGTCGGGGGCGGGCAACACAGTGTATTTCGCTGTGATATACCGAGTCCACACGAGTACAGCCGAGGCTCACCGAAGCGTAAAGCCGAGGTGAGCCGAAGTAAACGGTAGGCACGGCCGAGAACAGTGCGGCCGAATCTGGTACCGCGAATGGATTACTCCAGCGTTTATCGTGTCGCGTATTTTTTAACTTGTGTTTAGCATTTAAAACGCACAGCACGGGGATACGAATGAGAGTCAACGGGACGAGTGGGAGAGCGGGGAGAGAGTGAAAAATACACGAGTGATATTGTGAGGGCGAGTAATTCGGATGAATAAGTGGAAGAATGGGGGAAAGACGAGGAGTAATTTGGTAGAATTTCGAGGGGACGAGTGAGCAAATGAGAGTTTGGATTTTAATGAGTGAAGTGTTGCAGCTCCAGTGTGAGGTAGGAGGTTAAATATTTTCTGTCGTGTGATATTCAGCCGACGAAAACATAGCGCGCGACGGCTGTTACAATGGCTCGCCGTCGCCAGGGGCACGGACGGTGGTGCATGAAAGGCTAGGAATTCTTTTCATCGGAGAAACCGAAATAAAGGAGAAAAAAACGCAGTGAACTGAATGTTATCATGTTGTGACTCGATTGCTCTCTGGGGATTGTTATTGGTGGGATCGCGAGGGGTTTTGGATTCAGTGAATACCTCGGGGTGATTGTCGTGAACAGGTGAAGTTCAGTGTTTTTAGGAGTTTTTTTCGTTCGGTATAAATAGGCGTTCGTTGGTGATAACGAGTGGTTGATGCAACTGAGGGGCATTGAGTCAGTGTTATTTTCGTTTGATGATATTTTTGTGATAAGAAAAACCGGACGCAGGAGCCGGGAGGCTCGTGTGTGGTGTCAGACGTTGGTGGAGGTCTCTTCGTCGGGTAAAATAAGGATTATCTTGTCCTCCAGCACCGGAGTTTCACCCGGACCCGAGGATGAGCGGGCGAGGGGGACTTGTGCGCGACTTTTGAGTCGTTGAAACAATTCATCACCTCAGACCAATTTTTTTTGTTACTTCTTTCGGCTCCTTCTCGCTCGAGCGAGAGGGTCACCCTCTGCGGAACGGTAGATTGGGGGCTTCAGGTATAGAGAGAAGAAAAGTCGGGGGGTTTTGGGTGCCACATTGTTGCACTGGATATTTGGAAGTAAATACAACAGTGCTTGAGGATGCAAGTGGCAACGCTGTTCAGGGAAAGCGCTACCCTGCTGGGGGCCTCCAGTCTCGATCCCCCGCAGGCCCATCATCAGGCCCTGCAGCAGCAGCAACAGCAGATGCAGCATCACCAGCAAATGCAGCAGCAGAATGCTGAGATGCACCTTCACATGCAGAATCACTACAAAATGTGAGTTTCTTCGTTAATTCTGGAGTGGAGAGGGAAAAGTGTGGAAGTGGTTTGGCTGAGTTTTTGGGGGATATCTCCGAATCTGGGGGAGATAGCGAAATTCTTGTTATAACATTTTTTGTGGGTCTTAATGAACTCTACAGAAAAGGTCATGACAATATTTTTGCTGTCTGCCTTAGATTATGAGATATTTACTGAAAACGGTAAAACCATTCGATTTAGCTCTCAACTGAGTTTTAGAGGGATATCTCCGAATCTAGGGGAGGTAGCGAAATTTTTGTTATGACATTTTTTGTGGCTCTTGACGGGCTCTACAGAAAAGGTCGTAACAAAAATTTTGCTGTCTGCCTTAGATTATGAGATATTTACTGAAAATGGTAAAACAATTCGATTCAGCTCTCAGCTGAGTTTTTGACGAATACCTCCGAATCTAAGGGAGATAACGAAATTTTCGATAGAACATTTTTTGGAGTACTTAACGAGCTCTACAAAAAAGGTTATGACAAAAATTTTGCTATCCGCCTTAGATTCTGAGATATTTATTGAAAACTGACCACTAGCCAAAATCGATTAAAACTGTTTTACTGCTTCGTTACTGAATACTCACATTATATCGCATTGTCCGGTAAAGGGGCAAGTATACCAGGGGTAACACTCATTAACCGATTAATTATTAACAAAAGACATAGGAAAAGTGAAACAGAGATGTTGCAAAACACAGCCTGTCCTCTTTTCACTATTATTCGAGGCAGGTAAATTTATAAGAGAATAAAAAAAAATAATACAAGTTGCACGCTATTTCTCACGACCGCGTGACTCACCTACACCGCAAGTCCCCATGATGTAACACATCGGCTGACTGAGAAATGAAATGGTCGTGCGAATTGAGCGAGGGGGGAAAAATAAAATGGTTGGTGGAGTTTTAGAGTTGCCAACTGGTTTTCAGCAAGTTCACGTTACTACTCTCGATTGAGGCAATGGGGATTCCACCCTCAGGTACATCGTGTTTTAGACATTTTTATTGGTGGACTCATGTTTTCTCCTGTCGTGAGTCGATGATGGTGATTGTTCCGCCGCTGGGACGTTTAAGGATGTATTACACCCTTTCGGCCAAAATTCACGTTTTTTTTTCATTTTTCTGGTGAATTATTGATCGGATTTACGTGACAATTTCCTCAATTCTGATTTTGCCCAATCAGAGTGCAGTATTCGGAGTCACGTGATGCGTTTCACACTGATAATTTCCCCGGCTGCAGGGAAATTATCAGACTGATAATTTCCCTGTAGCCTGTCAATTGTTTTCTACGAATTTGACGGATATTCCTCACATTTTTGTGAAATGTGTCCCGTAACCACGAACACTGCATCCTGATCGGCCAAAATCAGAATTGAAGAAATTGTCCTCCGAATACCCCTCGAACTTAAAAATTCATCGGATATTTCCCTCGAGTTTTCCTTCAACAAAACATTCGGGAAATACCCGATAATTTTGAAGGTCTTGGGGTATTATAGCTGAAAAAATATACCGTTTTTGCGTTTTATCGTTACTTAAGAATGACTCACGAAATTTCATGATCGTGCAATCATTTTCATGCATTTTTTCTAAAGTTTTGTGAATTTCCGAAAAGTTTTAGAAAAAACGCAGGAAAATTATTTCACGATCATGGAATTTCTTGAGTCATTAAGTAACGATAAAACGCAAAAACGGTATATTTTTTCACGTAAATGCGATCAATAATTTACCAGAAAAAATTCAAAAAACGTGAATTTTGGCGAAAAGGGTGTAATACATCCTTAAGGGGTAACAGAGGGCTTAACCGTTTCCTCGAAATTTTCAAACAAATTTCCTGCTCAAAGTTGTTTATATTCCTAGAGATTAATGCGCTTCGATTTGTAAAAATATCGGTAACTTTAAGCAGAAAATTTGTTCAAAAAATGGGAAAATTATCGGCGTTCTGTTACCCCTTAGGGATATCTAAATTATTTTTGAATCAAATTTTGAAGACAAAATTTTGACACTGCCGATTATTTTCACGTTATTCATAGAATTTTTATTTTTGTTTATTTTTCACGATTTTTTCTACATTTTTATCTTTATCGTAACCTCGAAAAATTCGTTTTCGCATAAGAATCTGTTATTTTGCTTCTAAATTAATTATTATCAGTGATACTAGACTGAAAATTGAGCACAAACTCAACCAGAATATTTTCATTCATATTAAGGTATATCCCAAGACAATACCACCCAAAAGTTAGTACCTATGAATATCCGGAAAAAAATTCTAAATGACTTAATGTATCGCATTTTCATAAGTTATTGAATTTTTCTATCCTCATATGTCCGATAAACAAATTATTGATCATTTATCATTACTTACATGAATTCTAACTTTGACGAGTGTGAGAAATAAATCCATCAAATTCATTGACAATTATTTTTTATATTATTTTCATATCAGGCATAGAACTTCTATTTTTTTGGGGATTTTTTGAGATTTTGGTTCTAAATTCATTATTATCAATAATATTGGACTGAAAATTGAGCACAGACTCAACCAGAATATTTCAATTCATATTAAGGATCCCAAGTCAATACGATCCAAAAGTCCCTCTGGATTTCCGGAAAAAAATCTAAATTACTTAATTTATTGCATTGTCATAAGTTATTGAGTTTTTCTATCCTCATATGGCCAACAAAACAATTATTCACCATCGATAATTATTTACATGAATTTTAACTTTGAAGAGTGTGAGAAATAAATCCATCAAATTCTCTGACAATTATTTCTAGATTATTTTCATATCAGGCATAGAACTTCTATTTTTTTTGTGATTTTTGGAGATTTTGTTTCTAAATTCATTATTATCAATAATATTGGACTGAAAATTGAGCACAGACTCAACCAGAATTCTTTACTTCACACTAAGGTATGTTCCAGGCAATACCACTCAAAAGTTAGTCCCTGTGGATTTCCGCAAAAAATTTTAAGTGACTTAATTTATTACCTTCTCATAAGTTATTGAATTTTTCTATCTTCATACCTTGTTAATGAAGGCAACAATAGCTGTCTGAATCAACTAAAAAATTATTCATCAATTGTTTGAATCAAATGAGAAATGATTTCACGAAATTTCCGTTTTTTGGAGTTGACTGGCGCAGAAATTAGGCACTATTCAATTTTACAAAAAAAAATCACCGTATTCAGAATTTATCAATTTACCACGGATTCACGGGGACTCCTAACCCCCTTTTGGCCAATGTTTCGCGTGCTAGAAGCCCGTATTTCACTATTTATCATCTTTTAAACTCTAATACAACCAATTACAATTTTTTTCAATCTCTCGGGAACATTATAAACATTATCTATGAAAAACATGGGGACAATCGTAAGAAAAACCTCTTCTTTTGTAAACATATGCCTTAACGTCCGTGTAAAATTTATCTCAAGCTTTAATCTTTAAAGTTCAAGTCGTGTTTATACCGCTTTAACTCGGGACGAAAGTTTTCACAAATATCGAATGGGAATATGTGTCGACGTTTAATTGGTGGACGGTTATGAACGAGCCACGTGTTGATTATCCGGCCTAAACTACCCATATTGTTGGCATCTAGTTTGTGTAGGTAGTCGCTATTACAATTACATACAAACGGGAATGCCGATTAAATTTGCTTAATGAGTAATAAAATTACCAGGTTCAATGAAACGTGTCTAATAATATATCCCCCTCCCTCCCTACCGAAGAAATTGGTAATTATTACAGGAAGTGAAATGTATGGTGTTGTCTGGGGCTGAGCTTTTTCAGCATTTTATGTTTGAATGAATTGCCTGGTTTCTGTTCACTGTTGAACGTTCGATTTATCCTTGAACTTGAGGGGTTTGATACCGAGGAAAGAAAATAAATAAAATGTATCTGATTGGTAGGGGTCGCTTTCAGTGGCGGCGGGGGCTCTCTCGCTCCCGATGGATTCTTATTCTTCGCTTTTTGCAGGAGGAACGAAAACATTTGTCCGACACAGTGGCACCTCCAGCCCTTTTTACCTCTTACTTGTTCTTGTGGGGTGATTGAGCAACGCGCGCATCCATTGACGACAAAGTTTCTTCAGCTCTCGGATTTTTGCTTCCAAATGGAAGCTTTGTAATCGGTCGATTTTTCGGTTCTCTAATTTTGCTTGGAAATGACTTACAATGTCGTGAAACGTGCGCACAAAATTGTGGGAATTTTTTTATAAATTTTCACGGAAAAAGCACTAAAGTGATAGATAAAAATCTGAAATTTTGGCTCGTAATTGGTATTGTCTGGAAGCACATCTGGGCGAAATTTCAGCTCAATCGGTCCAGTAGTTTTTGAGATACAGCGATTCCGAAAAAATTTTCTTTTCTCAATATCTCGAAAACCACTGCAGCAAATGAACTTTTTTGGCGTCAAATAGTATTTTTCCGGCCTGTTGCGATGGGGTTTTTTACTCGTGTGGCGTTGGCCTCCGAGCCGTAGGCGAGGACTGGCCAACCACACGAGTAAAAAAACCCCATCGCAACAGCCCAGGAACAATATTTTTCTGTAGTGATTTTCAAGTTTTCGAGTTTGGGAAGTATGTAATACCAATTCTCAGACGAGAAATCGTGAGAAGCAGTACAGAAAATATTCTTTATGATAATATCTATCGAATCGGACCATAATATGCCTAGCTAACTATTGCGAGTCGCCCAGTAATTGACTTTTTTCATTTTTGTGGTAAAATTGATGTGAACACGATAACGCTTGAAAAAATTGAGATAGGAAGTTGAAATTTGGTAGGATTCTAGCTCTTACTATATCACAGGCTGGGATTTCAGATGGGCGAAATCGAATGAGTAGTTTTAAAAATATTCAATTTTTTGTACAAAACTATATTGTTTAATATCTCAAAAATTGTTCATCCGATTTCAAGATTTTGTTCAAAATATTCGTCTTGATGTCTCCTATCTAGTTTTTTCAAAATATATATACCCGTTCCTGCA